CACTCTCCAGAGCAAGTGATAACAATAGAGCGGTGAGAAATCTGGCTTCCGTTGGAAGGAGAGACAGATGAACTTGTTTGGGAGGCAAAAGGCCAGGCTGTGGATTGTGCCCCTGGCATCTGCTAGTATTTTCACCCCCAAGGAACTCAGGTTCTTTGTTTTACAGCAGGGTGGAAAGTAACCACCTATGCATACTTTACTGAGGACTAACATGTGACTATCCCCAGCTTTCCTGGTTGTGGTAGATATCATTCAGAATATTTATACACATCCAGGTCCCCGCATGCACTAGATGTGTGACACTGGCAGTGAGTGAGTAAGCTCAAGGAGCCTGCCTTTTTTCATTAGGACAGTGGAGGGGTTGTAGCATCTGCATCCCAGGATGAGTGAGGAGCAATTAGACAAAAGATACAGAATGTTATGCACATGGGGTAATGAGTGTCAGTCCTACTGCTAAGTAGTTTAGTGAGATTTAAACAACAGCATAAAATCACCATGTCATGGAAACCACAGTGAATGCCCTCATCTCTTATCTCAGCATTCAGAAAGCTGATTGTGGGCCTCCCGGACACAGCACCAGTTTGGCCCCGAGTTTCTGTATATATAACAATGTGTGAGAGTGGTGGTGGAGACCCGGCTGAAGGGATGTGATAGAACTTAGGCAGAGAGCCCTACTTGGCATGGATGCCACATATCTTCCAGTGGCAGTTTCCTTTGGGCTTTCTGAGAAATTTTACCCAGGGTCCAACTAGGCAGTTATTCCTGCCTTGTACTTCTGGGTCTGTATTTAGGTTCCTCAGAGGAGCCCATACCTCTCAGGTGGCTTCCCTAGATCCTGACTATTATACTGGCAGAGTTCATGGAGGTACTCTTTCCAGTCTTTTCCAAATAAACAATATAAGCTAATTTATGTATTTTGAGACAGTGGCTCATATAGCACAGGCTGACCTTGAACTCCCTATGTAGCCAAGAATGGCCTTGAACTGATCCTCCTGCTTCTACCTCCTGAGTGCTGAGGTTACAAGCAAGTGTCACCATTCCTGGTTTTAGATTTTGTGTGGTTTCTGAAGCTGGGCCTCGAACAGGAGGCTTTTTGCATGTTAGGCACACACTCTACCAACTATGCTACATCCATACCCTCAGCCAAAGCTTATATTTTGAATTAAGTGTATTCTCCTGTGCCTAGATAGGACACGGTCATTGTATAATCAACGGAAGATATAAAAGTCCAAAGAAGTTCTTCCTCAAATGAAGGGTACTGTTCTAAACTGCAAGACACCAATAGTTGGGGTGTTCATAGCAGACATGTTCTTCACGGTAGTATGGTCTTTCATAAGCATTTCTGTCAAATGAGTCATTTGGAGGACTCAAGTCTTTCTAATGGCCAAAGGGGAGTTTCAGTATAAAAACTTGTATTTCAGAATGAGAATTTTATTAAAATATATTACTATCTTTAAGCTACCATACAAATACCCTTTGTATTGATCTCAGTGTGATGAACTGACTGAATAAATATGCCAATTTCTTCCAGTGAGCCAAACAGTATTTTTAACCTACTTTAAAATATGTGTTGTTTCCTATGGTTTTTTAAACTCTGGAGTTGATTATGAAAGTAATTTCAATTTTTAAAAATTCTTCTTTCCAGAGAACATACATATATATTTTAAACTATCAAATGTAAAGCTTAATGGGATGGGCCATTATTTTTTAAAGTTGCAAAGTAAGGTGAAAGAGAAAGTGGATTATTGTGATGGGATAATCGTGATTGTCTACTTGATTTGATTTAAAACATCTAGGACACCAACTTAAGGGTATATCTTTGAGGATGCTTCCAAAGAGATCTAGCTGAGGAGTGAAGACCAGCCCTGAATGTAGACAGTACCCAAGGCTGGAGTACCCATCAAGTTAAAAGGAGAAAGTAGATGGAACCAGCATTCACTTCTCTCTGCTTCCAGACTGAAGATGCCACGTGACCTGTCACCTCACTCTCCTGCTGCCATGCTTTCTTGTCATTATGGATTATGCTCTCAAACCTGAGCCAAAGTAAATCCCTCCTTCCTCAATTGCTTTTGTTAGGTATTTTGTCACAGAAGTTAGAAAAGTAATTAATGTAAAAAACTGGTACCAGGAGCAGGGTCACTGCTGTGATAAATAAAATCACATGGGTTTGCAGGCCTTTGGAACTAGTTTGCTAGAGGAATGTAAAGAGCTTGGAGCTCCAGACTAGAGAAAGACTAGAATGACATAAGAAGAGAGTAGTGGGTCGTTCTTGCAACAGGTCTACAGTGAAAGACAGCAGCAAGTACAATAGAAAAGCATGAAGTGTGCAGTATGATGAGAAAGGAGTGTAGCAAGTTTAAAGCTGAAGACAAAGCAGACATAGAGGAAGCAGCAGCCATAGTTGTTGAAGAAATCAATGCCATTAAAGAGAAACTGTCACTCTAGGAGAATAGGAAAGGTACCCTGAGGGCAAGACCTCACTCACAGAAAACTCCAACTTGTGAAAATGTAAATTCATTTGAAAAATAGAAAGTCTATAGTAAGAATGCCATGACCAGAGTCAGAGGACAGGTATTCCTCAAGCCAAATGGCCACAGAGAAAAGTGTTTTTCCAGGGTCTTCTTCAAAGGCACACAAAGGTTGCTATAACTGTTGTCTGAGAGGCTTATGCTACACCTTGGTCTGACAGCATAACTTGGCAGCATTTTCCACATGGCACTTGTTTCACAGGCATGGAGGACACAGGCATAAAGGGGTCACAGAGGTTGGCACCAGGGTTCTGGAGATTATTGAAGCCATGCAGTATGTAGGTGGGTCAGGTCAGACTCCCTGCAAGGAGGCATTAAGAGACCATTGCATAAGACTGAGAAGGTGAAGCCCAAATTGCATTGGAGACCCTAGAATATTAGAGATGCTAGTACTGGGGAGTGTTGTCCAAGAAGAACTGTGGGCATGAAGCAGAGCTGGCTCAAGAGAGAGTCTATGTGCACAGTAGGCACCAGAACCAGGTGACTGCACAAACCCAAGGGAGTTGCAGCCCACACAATGCCACCAAGAGTTCCAGATCCCAGACATGGAACTACAGGATTTGGTGTTTGCCCTGCTGTGATCCAGTCATGCCTTGGCTGAGTCTTTGCTTTATTCCCATTCCTCCTTTTTTGTAATGAAAATGTTTTCTTTGTGATATTGTATATGAGAAGTATATGACTGGTAGGCTTGATTTTTATAGGGCTCATGGATAAGAGATTTCCTAAATCTCATAAAGAGACTGTATTTACACTTCTGAATTTTTAGACTCAGATAGTGGAGACTTGTAGAGATGAACTAAATGTATTTTGCATTATAAAATGAACATGAGATTTAAGGGATCAGGGATGGAATGCTATGATTTAAAAATGATATGCTTGGGTGTCAAGCTGATAAAATGAAGATGTGTGATAGTTAATCTTGATTATCAACTTGGCAGGGCTTGGATTCACCTAGGAGACAAACTTCTATCCCTGTGTGAGGGGGTGTTTAATTTAAGCAGGAAGACCCACCCCGGATGTGATGGTATCATCCAAAAGGCTGGAGTCTTAAATGAGTGAGGAGCAGAAAGTGTGTGGAGCATCTCTCTGCTTCTTGACTTAGGATGCCTGTGACTAGCCACCTTATGCTCATGCTGACATGACCCCCCATCAAACTGTACCAAAACAAACCTTCCTACTTTAAATGGCTTTCTGGTGGAATTTTTCATAGGAACAAAAAGAAATAACTAATAAATATATAATGTGACATTGGAGACTACTACAACAAAGGGAAGCTTTAGTGACAATTCTTCTAATATGTAACAAATATACTCTTCTATGTATTTTTCCCCATCATTTCCTATTTAGTCTTCTTGGCCTTTTTAGCATATAACATTGTGTACTTAACCAGGGTCCTTCCAAGAGTTCTGGGACTTTAAGAAGTTCAGGGAAGGACTGGGGATATAGCTCATTTGCCACAAGGGCTCAGTGTGTAGGTCTGGAAACCGGCAGAACACATGTTAAAGCCAGATGCAGTGGCACAGGGATGTGTAATCCTGGAAGCAGAGTCAGGAAAATCACCACAAGTGCATAGGCGAGCTATCCTGCTGAACAAGCAGGACCCTGCCTCAAACAAGACAAAGAACAAAGTTTGTTCTCTGACCTCTGTACACGTGTGTACATGAACACACGCACACAAGATAGAGATAGATATGTAGATAGATAGATAGATAGATAGATAGATAGATAGAGTGAGTGAGTGAGTCAACAAAACTGAAAGCCAAAGCAATCCATGTACTGGCCAGTGAGGCCCCTCAGGTAAGTGAGCATACTAGCATTTCACAGACTGGGACATAACAGGGAAGAGGTTAAGGACTTGGTCCTTAACCCCTTTTGCCTAGTGGGAAAACTCCCCAAAATAAAAACACTTTAGGCCTCAAAACTATTTGGAATACCAATTAGATGATATTTAAAAACCATTTCCCCCAGAAAAGCATGAAAGAACTAATGATCATTAGTTGCTGTCTGCGAATCGCGGGATTTCTGGGCTTTGGAAAGAAATGCCAATATACCATTTTGGAAAAAGAAACAGTGACAGAAATTGTGCTTGCTTGCTTTGTAGGAGTAAGAGCCTTAGGAAATTAGGCACAGGGCAGGGAATGGAGCTAGCTGGACATGAATGAAGCACATTCTAGCTTCAGGGACAGAGCTAAAAAAGTTAAAAAAAAAAATAAACCTACAGAATCGAGTACTTCAGGAGACCTGGGCCATCTGGTGTAACTACTGTCCTCAGTAGACTCAAGGTGGATGGATCCCTTTTACTGACAGGAATCCACACCTCACAGCACAATTCACCAGTCAGGGATGGCCAACTCTTAGAAGTCCTCCCCAAGCTTGAACTGAAACCTGATGGGGACCAGAATAAGGAACCCTTCCAAATGTGCATTTCTGCTTGCAATGTGGCTGTGCCTCTGCTCAGACAGAGATGTTTACCTGAAGTTGTAGCCAGGGGAAACGCTGCTTTTCTCAGAAACTCCATCCAGCCGAGTGAAGGAATATTTGGGGATACACTGGTCCCAGGCCTTGTCCAGATCACACACCCAGCCGATCTTAATGCCCAGAACTCCACCCTGAGGAAAGGGCCAGATATAAGCTCTCCTCTGTGCTCGGTCAGGCTGAGGATTCGCGATGAGTGATTTCCTTCCCTTCTCTACGTGGGAGGTGGCAGCAGGGAGGAAAGAAAGTCACTGGTAGGGAGGGGGTGTCCTTAGGGGAGGAACCTGTATCCCAAGAGTCGCTGAGCTACAACACAGAAGAGAGGGTGCGGCTGCAGATGGCTTTCCTGTGATGTGGCGCTTTAAGAGACCAAAGGCCTCTTCTGAGGTGAGATGGGATGGTAGGAATGGTAAACTGAGGCTTGGGGAAGTAGAGGCAAGATCTCTGGAGGATGGGGGTGGACGGAGGCGGATAAGATTCAGGAGAGGAATGGATTCAGGGATCTGCAGGGCTGGGATGCTCCCACCAGGTGGCACTGTCTTCCTGTGGCTCCTGCCCAGCAACCCAGGGTCTATCCTTGGAGTCTATGGGTGAGTTGAGCTTTCCAGGTTGGGGAGGGGGAGGGGTCAAGGAGAAGAGACAGGTTCTCACCGTGCGGGCCAGCTTGGCAAAATCTTGCCCAGCAAACTTAACCACATCCCCTACCCTCAAGATGGGGCAAAATGGGGCCTTTTCAGGGTGGAAGCGGCATGTCTTTATGTCCTTGGCTGTCAAGTTGGGCAGGAGGTTTCCCCTGGGGAGGAAAGAGGAGAGAGATGAGGCCCAGAATGAAAGTAAAGATAGTCATGCCTCAGTTTTCTCCAGTCATCTGGATGCTTCCAGGCCTCCACACCCAAGTGGGGACATCTTCATGGACCACTTCTCAGTCACTCCCCACCTACCTCCCTTCTTTCCCTGCATGCTTTTGTAACCCTCATCAAGTTCCATCTCATGGTAGGGCTATCAATGTCTATGGCCAGTGTCTCCAAACTACCAGGCTGGGCTCCTGGGGACAGAGTCTCTCCTAAGTGCTCTGTGCATCTCTGTAGTGCCTGGCAGGTTGCTTTGCACATGCTATTAGGTAGCTGTTAAATGTATGAGTCAATGTAGAGAGGACAAACTAAGACCAAAACAAACAACAACAACAATAAAACCTTCCACTCGAGGGCTGTAGCTGGGGAGAAATGAAAGTGACAGACACCTCAGACTCCAATTGCAGGAGGCCTCAGTGTCCACTGCCAGGTTACATTGTCTTCCCCCCCCCCCCCAGCTCCAAGCAGAACTCCTATTTGGGTTCAGAGCTCCAAGGCAGGGAAACTGGCAGAGAAAGTGGCTACATGACATTCAGGATAGGCGCTCCAGACAGATGAGTGGATAGAGAGAATGTGGGGACCTTTATGGCAGGCTGAATGAGGGCAGAACAGAGGACTCACTTCTCGAAGTTGAAGAGAGGGAAACGGATGCTGTTCTTGATGAAAATAGTGAAGTTCTCAGCTTCCATCATGATGGGCCTGTGGGTGAGATTGCCATTCAGCTCTCCAGAAGAGGGGAGTTTTTCTCAGGAATATTTCTTTGTGCATGCCTTTTGAAAAGAGACATCTTATAGCCAAGGGCCTGTGAGAGTGAGGGTGAGAGGCAGAGGCAGGGCAAGGGAGATGACACCCTGAGGTAACATCCCTACTCCAAGGAAGAGCATGAGTTGGGGACACACAAAACCCTCTATATGCTTGGGGATGCTCAGAGCCTTACATCTCCACGGTATCCACTTCGGTGGGGCACCAGCCCTGAATCTCACAGGTCCGGAGGACAGAGCTGTAGTTCACACAGCGGCCAGTGAGGATCCCTGGAGAGTGGAGCTGCATGACCAGGTGGCATCCTGCCCCTTGCCACTCCCATCCATCCCCCTCCTCACCAGGACCCCTGGAAGGTAAGCAAGGCAAGCCAATCCCCTGTATGTATCCTGAACACTCCAGGACTCTTCTTCCTTCCCTTTTAGGCTGAGATATCCCTTCTGCCTAGAATGTGCTTCATGAAGTTCCCTCCACCTTGCTGAATCTTTCTCATTTCCAGGTCACCTCCAGGAAGGCTTTGGAGCCACCTCTCAGGTCCATTTTTGTTCTCTCCCCTGGGGCTGTCCTTTGTGTTTCTTCAATACCACTTGCTACTCTCTACTCTACCACTGCAATACCTAGACTGAACTCCTGGGGGCAGGAACCATGTACCTCCAGAGCCCTGGCTGCTTCTGGCACCCAGCAAACTTGTAACACTGGCAGAATTCCATAGAATAGACTGACCCCCTTTCCTGAAATAGACTATCCCAATGGAGAATTCTCTGCCTTTCAGAGTCCCATGAAAGCTTGGAGTTGTGGGGGTGGGGTGGAGGAAAGGGCAGCACTCACCCCCACCAGGGAAGCGTTCAGGCCCACACTGGCTGTCAGACACACAGCGGTACTTCTCCTCATTCTGGGGGGTGGGAGAGAGAGACAGGGTCACAGGTATATGAAGGGCCCTCCCTTGGCCCTGGTCAACCCATTAGATCCCATTGCCTCCCAGAAGTTCCCATGGCTGTGACTTCTGGTGGGTGTCAGGTCCAGTCACAGCTCCAAGGCTAGACTATGGGCCTCTATTCACTCCACCTGCCCTGCTCCTGCCAATATGCTTCCATGACCTGTTCCACTCACCTCTGGACAGAATCCTTGCATTTGATTTTCAGTAACGATCATCTTGGTGATGATGACAAAGACAGAGGTGCCCTTGGGAGAAGGGAGATGACAAAATTTCTGTTCCAATCTGCAGGGCAGGAAGGAATTTCCCCTCTACAGAAGAGGAAGCACCAGTCTGCCTGTGATTTGGCCAAGGTGGCAGGGTTAACCAGGTGCACAGATGGCATTCAAATCAACTTTTGCTAACCACCTGGTGGGCCCTCTTGCTCTGTCCGTATTGCTCTCCACAAAAACACAGGCATGACAGAGTTGGGGAGTCCAGCTTTTTTTATGTCCAGTTTGGCTTTTGGAGGGCAGGTTCTTGTTCCCCCAAAAATACTGTAGCTGCTGGCTCAGGGTGCCTGTCCCTTGGTCCTCACTCTCCCCAGATGCAGGCATGCACATGTCCCTAGGGCAGGGCTCCATACCTGAGGTGGGGTCACATAATCTGACACGTCCATGACTCTGTTGGCATAGCGTCCGAAGCCTTTCACCTTTGTCACTACTGAGGACTCAATGGCCGTGTCCCGCACTTGATAGGCCTTCTCATGCAAGAAAACCCACCTGCAGCAGAAGACCAGGGAGACAGAGACAAGGGCTGGGAAAATTCTCCCTCCTGCCAACATTAGTCACACGGGTGTGCTTAGTAGAGACATGTGTGTAGAAACCAGGATGAGTCCTTGGTTAGTCCAGTGAGACTTTGTAACCACCTCTGGGGAGCACTTTGGGGCTTCTTTTTTCTAATTGTCTTCCTATGAAAACTCTTAATATTCAAGCATGTGCCATGAGATATATAGATGTTTGGAGGCCAGAAATTGATATATATTTCTTTTTTAATCAGAGTCTCACTGTGTAGCCCTGGCTGGACTAGAATTCATTTTGTAGACTTTGAACTCACAGAGATGCACCTGTCTCTGCCTCTGAAGTGCTAGGATTAAAGGTGTGTGCCACCATGATATCATTAGTTGATACTGAGATAGACATTCCAACAACATCACATCTATCACCGTCCACCACCTCATCTTTTTTGAAACAAGGTCTTCTTGAACCTGGTACTCAGTGGCTGGCTAGACTGGCTGGCCAGGGAGCCATCTACCCGCTTGTCTACACCTACCAGCACTGGGTTACCAGTACACACTGCCATGCCTGGCATTATTTATTAAAAGTTTGCACTGGGAACTCTAGAATGCTAGGAAAGTACTCTATCAGTATTGAGCTACAGTCCCAGCCTACTTGTGATCTATACATACAAAACATTGAGTTATTTTTTACTCTTAAGAAGGAAAGGCCCTCTGTGGGCTGTATGCATTGCTGATAACAAGGTCCTCCACTCTACCAGGCACCATGGAGAGAGGAGACAGAAGGTCCCAGGCTACAGACACTGTGCCCCAAGCTTTACTCACAGGCTGTGTCCTGTGTGCCAGGCAGACAGCAGGCATTCAAGAAAGAAACTGATGAAGAGTCCTTGGAGCAGACTACTTGGCAGTCTTCATCCGGCCAAGGTCAGTGGAGAAATTAGGAGGCATGGGCAATGGTTGTGCCTCTGCCTGGGAGACGGATACTGTTGGGAAGGCGGAATGCTAATCTTATTCCTTGCATGGTGCTTCCACCTAGTGGTCATTACCTGTCTCCCCATTGTGTGAGTAAGTAGCTAAGTAAGGCAAGAATCCCTTTCTTCCATTCCCACCTGCTTTTACAGACCCTTCCAGACATCCCGGACAGCAGGGAGAGCATCAGACTGCTGACCCTGCTCATCTGTAAAGGACTGCTTCCCATGTGAAACAAACCACCACAGCCCTCAGGGTTCAAGACACTCGGTTCCTATACCTGTCACAGCCTGGTGGCACACTGGAAGGCCAATGCAGTTACTGTCATTATTCTGTAGGTGAGAAAATCTATCAGATATGTTTGGGAAAAGATACCCACTCTATACAACAAACTAGCAATGTATTAAATTTTGTTAAGCTTATCATTAGTATGGTCATTATTATTACCACTACTATGGCTATTGTATTGCGGTGCTGACTGAATTCTTTTTCCTTTACTTTTACAGCTTTCTCTGCCCCCCCCTTTGTGTGTGTGTGTGTGTGTGTGTGTGTGTGTGTGTGTGTGTGTGTGATGTATATAATTCCTCAGAAGCTAGCTACTTTTTAATTAATTTTGTGGGAGTTGGTATGTGTATGCTATGGTATACATGGAGAGATCAGAGGGCAACTAGTGCGAGCCAGTTTCTCCTATTCTGTGAGTGTTGGGGATCGAACACAGGTTTCAAGGCTTGCAGGAAGACTCCTTACTGGTCTATTATCTATCTTTCTATCTATCTATCTCCATCCATCTATCATGTATTTGTAACAGGGTCTCTCATCTATCTATCTGTCTATCCATCTATCATCTATCTGTGACAGGGTCTCCCATCCATCCATCCATCCATCCATCCATCCATCCATCCATCCATCCATCCATCTTAGACAAGATCTCTTACTTTTACCTGGCACTCTCCAGTTAAGCTAGATTGACTGGCCAACAAACCCCAGTCTCATTTTCTTCAACACTGGGATTAGAGGCATGTGCCACAATGCCAGGTCTTTTTCACACAAGTTCTGGGGATTGAACTTAAGTCTTTATGCTTGCACTGTACCCATTCAGCCATCCCCGCCCGCACCCCCTGCACCCCCCCCCGTCACTGTTTCAACTTTTAATTGGCAAACAACCATTGTCTGTATCTATGGGGCACAATGTGAGTGTTTTGGTGCATATACACACTATAGAATGAGTCTATTACACAAATTAGCATAACCATCTCTTATATTTATCTGCTTCTTTTTGTAGCATCATCCACTTGGATTCTGAATGCTTTCTTGTATGAGAGAAAGAGGGTGGAGTTGCAGCTCTGCCAAATGGCTCTGAAACTGTTACCTGCTTTACTGTGGCTGACTTGTAGCAGCCGGCAAGTTGATTAATGCACCATTAAGCATTATCCACATGCTTGTAAAATGGTCTTCTGAGCACCACGCCTTTATAGAAATCTGCAGTGCTGTTTGCTTTACCACTCTTGCAATAGTTTTTCTTTTCTTTTTTTGAAGGGGAGGAATTTCATTAAGGTCTCATTCACCATGTTATGTTCCAACAGAGATGAAGGCAGCGTCTTGTTACAGAATCCAAGGAAGTGATCCAAAAGAGCACCATTAGCTCATGGCCTTATGCCCTCTGGAATGATGAGGAGTGAGGTCTGGGGGCCTGACTCTCTAGTTCAGCTAAGATGGTAGCTGCTGTGAATACTCATCAGAGAGTAAGCCACAGTCCAGACAGACTTCTGAATCTCCAGCGTGCTTCTTACTGTTGAGCTAAGGAAATGGTTCTTTGAGGCCAGTATCCCATCCTTAAAAGTGAAGTCACATTTGTAGATGCAAAGAACATTCAGAGTGACTTCTCATACATTAAGACTATGACACTCCGTTGACCCAGTCCATAAGCCTTTGTGAGACAGCTGTATCGTGACCATTGTGCCACAATCAAGGAAACAAACAAAAGGGTATGATGACTTGCCCAAGGTAATGTAACTGGGAAGCGGGTTCCACACAGCAGTCTGCTCTGGACCACTCCCAGCCACACCACTGTAGTAGGGTCTCTAGCTATTCTCAGGTCAGATTCACTGAGAGAAAAGCATCCCCTAACTCAGGAAGGTCTCAGGGGGAAGGGGCTTGGGTGGAGAAACAATTAACCAGCCTCCTCCTCCTCTTTCTTTAAGACTCCTGTATGCCCAGTGGGGAGAAGAGGCCACTTTAGAATTCTCTCTGAGTTAACAAATGGAAGAATTTCAGTGGCCCCATGGGGCTGAGAACATCATCAGGGTAGCTAGCAATGGGAGGTGAGGGGTTGCTTCATTTCCAGAACAGAGGGGCTGAGGCTGTCTCTAGAGGCCAGGGCTTAGGAGATGCAGCAGGACTAAGCCTCTGCTTCTTGGCATTTACTGTGCTGCTCTGACTTCTTTTTTTCTCCCCCTTGCATTTCTGGTTTATTATTTATAGAGCGGAAGGCGGTGGCAGCTCCTTGGCAGGTGGGATGTGCAGGAAAGAGGCCCAAGCAGCATCCCAACACCCTCCAGTCTACCCCCAGGAGTCAAGCAGGAGGAGACTAGGGAGTGGGAGTGAAATGTGTGCGTTGTGTGTGTCAGAGGAGAGGGGTCTTTTTAGGAAGGTGTGAGCTGGGCAGAGGGAAAGAGGGAGGCACAACAGAAGTCTAGGAACAATAGTTACCACATATAACTTAATACTACTGAGTCACCATCTTGGGAGAGGCACTTAGCATGTGTCATCTCTCATCCCAGAACACCCTGACAGGAGGTAGGTACTCTTACACTCTTGAAACTGATACTAACAGGTCTGTGTCAAGGTGGTGTCAAAGCATGATAGTCCCTTCATCCTGAGGCTGTGGTGTAGGAAGAAAGCAGGCAACAATGGGTATATCTAGAGGATGAGGGATTCCAACTAATCCTCCCAGCATGCCACTTAGTGTGCTGACAAGGAACTGTGGGTGCTACCTGGGGGTCAAAAGCATGATATCCTCAGCTTTTGGTACACTTAGGGTGGGTGAAGAAATATCGTGGCGTGGTGTCAACCACAGCAGGTAGCTGAGGCTGGAGACTAGTTGATTTGGTAGTGTGTTGCTGTGAGTGTGTAAGATAAACACTTGGTTCACATCACACACTTCCTAGGTGAAGTTGCATGTCGTGTCCTGTCTCCCTGGCAGAAAATATCAGGGAAAAGATTCAGGTACCAGGTAAGTGCCAACATCACAGCATCCTTTCAAGGGACAGAGGCAAGTTGGTTCAGTGGGTAAAGGTACTTGTTGTCAAGCCCGAGGACCTGAGTTTTATCTTTGGAGCTTAGTGGTGGAAGGAGAGAACTGATTACCCCATCCCCAACTCCATCATTCTCTCACCTCTACACATATCCATGCTCCACTAACCTACAAAACAAGTAACGTAAAATGTAAAACAATAAATAAAACCCTTTCTGTTGAGTCTAGGTAGTGTTATCTCTTTCCTTTAGGCAACCCCACATACACTCCTACTCCTTTTAATCCTTGGACACATCAGGCTGCTCAGCTCTCATCACAGCACTCTTCCTCAGTCTCAGTCACACATATAGGTTGAGCAGTGTCAGTACCTTCGTCTCTTTCTTTGCTCTCCCATGAAAACAAAGGCTCTTGCGGGACTCTGCTTCCAGGGATCTTTCCACACTCTAGCCTCCACTCCCATAAACTTCTCTTCATTCCTCAGTCCAGGCTCTTTCCCTCCACAGAGGTGGGTTCTCTGCCTTGGAACTTCGTCCTTCCTTTTGCTCATCTAGTTGCTTCGACCCATCCTTCAGAACCTGTGTTGGGTATGGCATTTCCAGAAAACTCCCCTCGGTTTCCACATGAGTCAAGTGCCTCTACAGTGGTAGCACTTTTGGTGTTGTGCATATTTTAGACACTGTCAAAACTTAGCATTTGTCTGTGGGGATCCCTGGGTTAATATCCACTTCTTGCCACATTCTCAGGTGTGATATTAACAGGATAAAGACCCTGTCTGCTCTTGTCCATGGCTCAACCCTCAGTGCACAATGCCTGGCATGAAGGATGCACTTTTGCTAAATTAATCACAATGGATTCATGAAGTCACATGGTGTTTAGGCTCCTATAAACAGCCTGAGCCAGGAGGCTGGGCTGCTGTGTATGCTGATGTAACTGCAAAGCACTGTTCCACTGGGAGCTGTCAGGCTTGTAGATGGATGGGGTTGCATATCAAGATGCCAAAGAGCCTCTCTCATGCTCCCTTGAGCAGGCTGGACTCAAGCCCCCAGCACTGGAGGATTCAATCTTATTTTGATGAAGGGCGGCCAAGGGCAGTGTAGGACTAAGGGGTCTAGTCCAGGAGACAGCTGTCTCTGTCTTCCATCAATGTCCTGCCTGGAGCCAGGAAACTCAAGCCAGGTTAGGAATGTGCTGAAACAGCTTTTGTACTCATTTGGACCAATATACCATCCTTTGATGTTTGATGACCAACGATTCAGGCACTGAATATGTATATATATATATGAACACAGAAGGGTTAAGGACTAACTCTGAAGCTGGGGATGTAGTTTCAATTGGTAGAGCCTTGGGTTCAACGTGTCAGCATCATATAAACTGGATGTGGTGGCCCACACCTGTAATTCCAGCACTAGGAAGATTGAGAATTCAAGGTTATCTTCACCTAAGTATCAAGTTCAAGGACAGTCTGAGATATATAAGACTCTGTCTTAAAAAACCAAAACCAAGTAAAATAGCCAACCAAAAAGGAACCAATTTTGAGCCAAACTTTGGAGACAGGGATATGGAACATTTCTAAACATCTCTCACAAAACAACATAGGAAAGTAGTTTCAAGGCCATTTCATTCTATTCCATAGCTTGAATTCCTTCTGGTGTCTTCACAAGTCTATTATATAGCCTTGTTATACACTGGAATACCAAAAGTCTACTGGCTTTCATCAAATCCATGAAGCAAAAATCACTTTAAAAAAAAAAAAAACCACATCTGCCCATCTCTCTACACATCAACCTCTCCACATTACTGCAACCTTTCAGCTCCAGCCCACAGGCACACAGGATATATTCTTTGATTTGCCTGAATTAACTTATGACCTAGTCAGTGGCTTGCTGTCTTTCATAAACAGACTCATTGTCTCAAGGAACAGCAAGCGACCACAGACCTGAAAGCCAGGAAAGAAAACCCTTGAGGTTTCTGCCTACATTTCTTGGTGCCAACCAGTGTGTAGAAATGACCACAAGAGGGACAGACCTCCTAGGCATTGTTGACTCAAGTCCCTTTGTGTGTGTGTGTGTGTGTGTGTGTGTGTGTGTGTGTGTGTCTGTTTGGATCTTGATAGCCTTTGTACAACCCCTAGCATGAGTCTTATGGCACAGAGTCAGGTAGAGGGAAGAATTAATTTATGCTCTTTAACAATGGGTATCATTTCTGCATTCTTGGGGGAAGAGCCCTACATTAAATCTTTGGCAACTCTTTCCTTGAATGTATCTGTGTCTATGCCTCTCTCTACCTTGAGGGGCACTTCCTTCCTTTGTCCTACTCTCCAGGAACAATGGTGTCTTGGTTTTTTAACCTTTCCTCATCTAGCCCATGGAAGGAAGGAATTCCTAACTCTAAATGAAACCCAGTACTCTCCTTTCTTCCCCAGCCAGTTCTTCTCCCACACAACACTAACCCACATCTCTGGTTTCTGTGCCTCTTCCCTGTGCTCCTATATCTCTCACACTCCAAAGATTGAGGGGAATGGAAAAGTGTGGAGAGGGACCTGCCCTTCTTTTTTTTTTTTTTTTTAGTTTGGGATGGACCATATGAGTCCAGGGAATGCATCTATTCTTGGAGCATGTGTCTAGAATAATTTTCCAGCCCTGAAAGAGTTACTGGGTAAAATAATCCACCTGAAGTCAGGACTGGATGGGAGTGGCTGAGGCCAATCCCGAGGACATGGCTCTCACAGATCAAAGTGTTTCTCAGAGGAGAAGCTCTGGAAGCTGCAGAACAGTCTTGGGAGAGGGAGGGAAGGACATCAGGCAGCCCTTCTGTCCCAGGACTGAAGGAGCATGGACTCACTCACCCCACAAAGTAGGAGATGATCAGCAGCTGGACAGCTCGGTTGATGATCCCAATGGTCCAGCTCTTCACAACCACCGACTTGGTAGTCTCGTAGGTGAAGAAGTCTGATATACAGTTCATACTGAGAAAGTACTCCCAGACACTCAGAAGGGCCACAGATGGCAGCCCAAAGAGATGGCCGCAGGACAGGGAGAAAGAGATCAAGGCCCGGACTGGCCACTTAGTGGGACTTGAGGAACAGAGCCAGATGCTGTAAGCCAGGCAACTGTAGTCAGTGCCTAGTCTCTCTCCTCTTGACACTCTGGCTGCTAACAGTCTAGGGCCAGGGCGGCGGACCACCTTTTTATTCGTCTTCACTCCACTCCCCTGTGATGTCACAGCAGGGGTGGGGTCTCCAACCCCGGGCTCCAGATTGCCTGGGATGCAGCTGGCTAGGGCCCTCTGGGACTCATGCTTTATATGCACTCTGTCTACTGTTTCTATTCTGTTCTCTTACGCAGTGTCTCTACCGCAGCTCACCAGCTGCTTCGTATTCACCAAAGCCCCTTGTGAGGGCCCATTCCTGAGTTAGCTGATCTGCCTGAGCCAAGAACTCCACTTCTGTGTCTGCCGATTAATACATAATAGCACAAGAAAGGGTTCTTGCCTCTCCTGGGAGGAAGAGTCACATATTTCCTACCATCCCCTCCTCTCTGCCCTCCAGGATCTCATGTTCCCTAGCTGGTCTCAAACTTGCTATGCTGTTACATTCCGAACTCACAGTCCTCCTGTCTCAGTCTCCCAGTGTTGTGATTAAAGGTTTGTACCACTGCAAAGTGGAAATCCACTTACTCCTAACAACAGTTGGCAGCAGTGACTGAAACCCTTCTTGTTGTACACAAATTATGGGATTTTCTTTCTTTCTTTCTTTCTTTTTTTTTTTTTTTTTCCTTTTTTTCTTTTTTTTTACTCCCAGGTTATTTAAATCCTTGGTTAGGGCATGTGCTCCTGAAAGGTTGGGGCTGTTTTAACCATCTTCAATGGTTTCCTCAAATCCTAGAAATGTGCTGCATTAACAATAGGCTCTCATTATGTGTCCTAATCCCAGTTTGATTTAGCTAAATAGTGCTAGCAATAGCAGTGTTTAACCCAGTGGTTAAAGCCACTAGATGGCAAGAAAGCATCTCATATTCCAGGACTAAGTTAGCAGACCAGTGCAGTGATTGTCAGGAAGACCGTGAGTTTAAATATCTTGTCTTTACGAAGGAGACATGCTAGCAATTACTCTAAAGGTTGGATCCTCATGATTATGATAAAAGACTGATGTTAAGGAATCCGGCTCTAGGTTTGATGCCAATGCACTGACACCCTGGGTAAATCTTTTGTGGGTCTCACTTTTGTCATCTGTAAAATGAGGAAAGGTAAGATTAACTCAAGCGTCTCTTTCAGACCCAGCTTCAGATTTTGCAAGATGTACCCTGGCGCTATGTGAGGCCATCCGGGTTCTGCCAACTCAGGCTGATGTGGTTTCAAGTAAGTTCTAGCTCAAAGGTAAATCTGACACCAGCACTTGAAGTTAATGCGGCCATCTGCCAGGCTCTTCCTGAGAACCCACAAATTAGGGATATGGATGGGATGATGTTGGGGGTGGAAGGTAAACTCATTTCAGAAAGGATCCGATCCATTTGCCAGGATGCAGCTGGAAAGCAAGCACAGTCACCGACACCCGCATTCCCTTTGCAGCTAGTTGGGGCGTCATTTTGCCCACAGCTCTTTATTTTCCTTGTTTCAAAAGGCTCCTTCCCAGACTATTTTACAGAAGAGAGGGACATGAATGATTTCAACACACACACACAAACCTGAAAGCCTGATAAAACTGCATAGTTTCTCTTCAGAATCTACGCTTAGAAGAGCAGCTTGTAACTTTCTAAGGGGAGTTCCCATTTCCCGGTTAAGAATTCAGCCGCGTGGGATTCCACAGCAAAACCCTCGCTTCGCTAGCCCAGGGTATTGCCGCTCTAGGCGAAGGTCCCGTTGGTCTGCACGGCTGGTGTCTTTCTAGCCGGGTCTTCCTCTCTATGGTCTGTGCACGACTTCCGGTGGCGGGACGCGGGATCGCGCACGCGGGAAAAGCTTCCCCGGCGTCCCCTCCCCCGCATCCCTACCTCCTCCCCCGCGTCCCCCTGCGCCCACCGCCCGCGCTGTGCCGTCGCGAGGCTGCAGCTCAAAGAGGTGGGTGGTCGCGATCCCGGTTCCGGGGTGTGCATGGGCCCCGCTCCCCCGCGGGACGCTCGAGATGGATCGTTCCGCGTTCAAATCCGCCGGCAGTGGGCGAATCCATATTAAAATGGGGGGGGGTGGAGAAACGTGGGTCCAGGGGACCTCGGGGTGGTGGGATCGGTGGGATCGGGACACTACCCTCTGAGCGGAGTTGAGGTGCGCTCTCCGAGCAGGTCCCGGGGTTCCGCCGATTGTTGCCGTGGCCTGTCGATGGAACGTCCCGAGAGGGTGTCGGGTTGGGGTTTAAGTGCCACTACAGGCCTGGTTCTGCACCTAGGGTCCTGGGCCTTGGCCTCAGGAACGCTGCAGAGCCGGTCTGTAAGGTCCTCAAGCAGTGGAGAACTTGAGACAATCCAATCCAGGCACAGCTACCCATGGGTGAGCCGAGTAAGGTGGCATCTTTACTTGTTTATCAAATCTCCTTCCCGAATTCAGATCCCCACCCTGCTGAACATCTCTACACATCTCACCAGGAATTGGGGCCCAGCTCCCAGGAAAGTTTGTTTTCTCTGGTGCAGCCTAGTGCTCTGTGCTCAGGCCACCAGGACAGGTGAATATGGCAGAGACACTGGAGTTCAACGACATCTTCCAGGAAGTGAAAGGGTCCATGGTGAGAATGGCTTGGTCTTTTAATAAAGGCAGAGATGGGGAAGATTTCGAGCCCATTAAAAGCTTAACTGTGTCTGCTGTTTTGGAAGTAGGGTATCTGGTGTTTCCCCAAGCAAATGCAGAGTCTCAAGAGTTGTGAAGAGATTGCACGTGCAGATCTATCCTAAACCCCCTATGTTAAAAACCAGGAAACCTGGGCCCTTACAGGGGCTCTGGATACCAGAGTCAAGTTTGCAGTCTCGATTTGAGGTCTCTTGTATCTTTTGATTTGATCTCCCCACTTGACCTGTTGCTTTCCCATTGACAATCTGGCCACACTGCAGCAGCACCACATAGATGAGGGGTAAAGTGGACCTAAGAACACACTTTATCCTGTTCTGAATCTGGCTTTATATTTTGGGCAGAATGATGGGAGGCTACGGTTGAGCCGCCAAGGAATCATCTTTAAGAACAGCAAGACCGGCAAAGTGGACAATATCCAGGCTGGGGAGTTGACAGAAGGCATCTGGCGCCGGGTAGCACTGGGCCATGGGCTTAAACTACTCACAAAGAATGGCCATGTCTACAAATATGATGGCTTCCGAGAGTCGGTGAGAGATATTGTTGCTGTGGCCCTTTCCTTTTGTAACTGCCCTGTCTTGTTTATTTTTAATCTTTTAGAGACAGTTGGTGTTCTGATAATCATGTCATTGCTCATTTGGGCTCCTCAGAGCAGGGCTACTGGAGACTGTTGAACAACAACAACAACAACAACAACAAAAAACTACTGTTTTCAGTGGACATGTCTTGTGAATTTCTTTGTGCTTAGACTACAGTTTTCTTACATCTTATTTTAGATAGTGGTTTCCACTTGCTCCTTCTGTCCTGGTTAAGAATCTTAGCTCAGCTGGGTGTTGGTGGCACATGCCTTTAGTAGCAGCACTGGAGAGGCAGGCTGATCTCTGGGAGTTGGAGGCCTGCCTGGTCTACAGAGCTAGTTTCAGGACAGGCTCCAAAACAATACAGAGAATCCCTGTCTCGAAAAACAAAAACAAACAAACAAAAACAAAAAAACCAAAACAAGAATCTTAGCTCTAGGATTTTGTTTTTCCATTTTGAGCTGTTTGAGTTATTTGGTTTTAATATCCAGTTTCATCAAAAGAGCACCTACATAGAGTTTAAAAACTCAGCAGGGTGATTCATACACCTGGTAATGGAAGTTCCTTTACTCTCTTAGCCTGGGGCTTTTTTTTTTTTTTTTTTTTTTTGTGGTGGAGGATATGAAAAGGTATTTTTATCTTTTCAAAAAGTATTTGTTTTGCTGTGTGGTGTTGGTACATGCCTTTTGGAGGCAGAGCTAGGTGGTTCAAGGCCAGCCTGGTCTAAGAGTGACTTCCAGGACAGCCAGGGCTAAACAGATAAACCCTTGAAAAAAAACCAAACAAAACACCAAAACTTATCTCTCTTTTTTTTTTTTTTTTTTTTTTGGTTTTTTGAGACAGGATTTCTCTGTATTGCTTTGGAGCCTATCCTGGAACTAGCTCTATAGATCAGGCTGGCCTCAAAAAATCACATGATTCACCTCACCTGCCTCTGCCTCCTGAGTGCTGGGACTAAAGGCATTCGCCACCACCGCCCTGCTAGCCCAAAACTTATGTATGTGAGCTCTGCTAACATGAGTGGCTGTGCACAGTGTGTATGCCTAGTGCCCTCAAAGCTCGAAAGGAGGAATTGGGTCACCTGGGATTGGAGTTACAGACAGTTGTGAGCCACCACCATATGGGTGCTGGGAATGGAGCCAAAGTCTTTTGGGAGAACAAGTACTCTTAACCATGGAATCATCATGTCTAGTCTCTACCACCTCTTTAAGCAGCCAGGCGGTGGTGGTGCACCTTTAATCCCAGCACTCAGGAGGCAGAGGCAGGCAGATCTCTGAATTCAAGGCCTGCCTGGTCTCTAGAACGAGTTCCAGGACAGCCAGGGCTGTTACACAGAGAAACCCTGTCTCCAAAAACAAACAAAAAAGGTTAAGGAAAACGTGACTGAGGGCATCTGTGTTCCAGAAACAGCCTCCAATAACAAAGTAAAACTTGTTTTTATAAACAGTTTTTGAATTGACATGCTCTGTTAACTATGGTTTCTGATAAAGGATACATTGCTGAACTTTTTTCTGAACTAGAGAACAGGACTTTTAAGTTGTGTTAAGGCCCAAGAGGGTTTACTGGCGTTGTGCTTTCCCCTTACAATTTACAGGAGTTTGAGAAACTCTCTGATTTCTTCAAAACTCACTATCGCCTGGAGCTAATGGAGAAGGACCTGTGTGTGAAGGGCTGGAACTGGGGGACAGTGAAGTTTGGTGGTGAGTGAGGAAGATTGAGGTTGGTGAGAATGTGGGATGAAGGACTTCAAATGGTACCTTGCTTAACTCTTTGCTCTAATTTGTAATTCCCATTTAGTGTGTTGAGCATGTATTTATCATGTATCAGGCACTGTGCCTGGTTGTTGTACAGTGTGAACAAAGTTCCTTTGGTCCTGTCTTTATGGAACTTGGGGCTGGTGGGAATGTTTCTGTAGACTCCCAGGGAGGAATTTCTGGTTTGAATAACCCCTTTTCTCACAGGACAGCTGCTTTCTTTTGACATTGGTGATCAGCCAGTCTTTGAGATACCCCTAAGCAATGTGTCCCAGTGTACAACAGGCAAGAATGAGGTGACCTTGGAATTCCACCAGAATGATGATGCTGAAGTGTCTCTCATGGAGGTGCGCTTCTATGTCCCTCCCACCCAGGAAGATGGTGTGG